TTGGGAAATGGGTTTTCGTGATTTTGATCTTAATTGATGGGATTTTGAATTTGAAGTGATTGGATTGGTTCTAAGGGCCTCTCATGGGGAGATTTCTTGGCGGGTTTGTGTTGCCTCTGCTGCTGCTAACAGGTATTTAAATGAAAATGCCTTTTGTTCATTTGTTTTAATAACCATGTTATTGTAGTAACAGGATTATTTCAAGTGGATTTGTTGCACTTGACCAGCTGGTCTAGTTAATTGCAACTCAAAAATTTAGCATGCATTTGGATTGGGGTGCTGATTTCCTTGTTGGGTTTTCTTCAGTTATGTTTTTATGGTAATTTAGATAAGCTAAGCTTGTATATTGTCTCTATTGCATATATAGTCTCATACTGTCTCCATCATCATCAACCATAATGAGTAGTCTGAATTATCATTTGATATTGTTATGCAGAAATTCTGGACGCAGAAAACTTACTTATAGATACTGAGGTAAATGTGATAGCATGATTCTGTATTAGTTTTTCTTTTGTTTTCCTTGTCCAAAATGGTAAGCATGTGTTTATGGATCAAAGAGATTATGCAGTTATAGATTCCTTTTGAAGTGTGCTCAAATTTAGTTTTCTTAAGTAGCTATAACCACATGGATACCAAATTTAGGCATAAATGCTGTGAACTTATTTTATACAATAAAGGAAAATTAAGTTTTGGAGATCTACTTGAGTTTTATTTAGTATCTCATTCAATGTCAAACCTTAGGTTTGATTGGATTCATGCAGAAAATGCACTTTGAACAATTTTGGTTTACAATGTCACTTAGGAGACAAAAGAAAATAATTTTTGGTGTTTTTGATACTGCTTCTTATTATATTAAATGCAGGAAATTTCTCTACAACATGACGGGGAGAGTAGGCACAGACCTTAGTACAGCCTAACCTCCGCTACAGCCTAGGAGGCTTTTATTTTTTCTCAGCCTAAAATAACATTTAGCCAGCATGAATTTTCTTAGTAACCTGGGCTATACGTTTGAGGATCTTAAATGGGGTTTTCAGCTATGAGTGAAGGGGTTGAGTGTGGGCTTGGGCTGAGCTAAATCTTACTTCTGGTTTTTAGTTCCTACAATGTATTGTCCAAATTTTTTTAATAGGTTTGTATACTTAAGGTAAATTTAGCCCATCTGATTTGCAATTCCTGGGTCCGTCCCTAGGGGAGAGTCACTTGATTTATTAGCCGAACCAAAGGGGGGTTGTAGAGAAGAGAGACCAAGAAGAAAGGAGAAAGGGAGAAAAGGGGTCTAGGAAAGCGACTTCAGTATTATTTTAATTACTTTTGTATTTGGTTGGTCCCGTCCCTTTGGCAGCACAAAATTAGGAGACAAAGTATCGTAACGGCTAACGTAACCATGATTAGAAAATAAAAGAGATACGGTGGCTGACAATGGCATCTGGGACTGGGAATATGCACGCACACAAGCACAGCACAAAGTTCTTGAATTATCGTTAACTGTATTTGATTAAATGCATTATATTTGTGTTGGAAGCTGGGCATATTATATTCTAATATCAAGATATAACGCTATAAAATAAAATAAAAACGTTTAAGCCGTGACGAGATGCTTGCTGTTAGACTCAACTTGGTTAATCTTCCTCCTCATTCCTTTTTTCAACTGTATAAATAAAAGAGATGCTTGCTGTTAGACTCAACTTCAATTAATAGATGCGGATGTAGTCCAACTTGTAATTATTACTATAGACAACTGTTGGTTCCTTTTCCCGCCAACACTCTCTTTGTGGTTTGCTCTTGGATCGAGCTGCTCTACAGAGTGAGGAGCTCGTTGGATCAACACCAATGCCCTGAGTGGATTTCTGGCTCGCGAAGATGATTCTTTCAATTTCTGAACAAAATTAAAAGTTGAATCAAGTTGACAAGAACAAACGAGCTCGGGCTGGGCCCTATCGGCTTGCTCCATCTATCCTGATCCTGAGTTGCGCAGGCGTGCCACTATTGGGTATGAGACTAGTCCAATAAGCCTGGTATAGGTGGTGTAGGACGTTGATTTGTTGTATTTGCGTTTACTCTGGACTTCTACTCAAGCCATCGTGCTCCAAGGGGGGTACTGGCCTGGATAAGTTATTTTCTATGCCTCATTAAGAGGCCTTCAATATTCGTTCACTTGTGCATGTCAGTTTGATAGATACGAGCAATACCGCATCAAACAAGGGAGAAAATAGAGTTGTGGTTAATGGTACCCTATCTGGGTTTTGAAACCTAACTGAAATCCAATGAGCCCTTAGATTGGGTCAAGATTTTGGTTGATTCGGGCCTTATGATATAGTTTGGGCTTGAATTAACCTTTACTTTCATACTAATGAAGCTCTCTTGCGGGCCTCTGTTTTAGGTCTGAACTGGTAAATTTAAGCAATATGAAAGCGGGAAATTAAACAAGTTTATATGTATATATATATATATAAGCAATTAAATAGTGGATATTTAAAGAAGCAGTCAAGAAAAATTCCAAGATTCCTTTATCCGATTTTAACTTGATAATAAAGAAAGGCAGGAGTTATAGATTTATCCATTTAATTAATTCAGAATATCGATTACAATGTAAGGAAGACTGGAGATTTCCCTATCCAGTTCAAGCAATACATGAATTCAAACTGATTATGTAAAAGAAATCATTCCATAAGGATGGCAGAGCAACCAAAGATGAACGCATGAGTTGTCAATTGGTTATCTGAATATCAAGCAGGTTTGTTTGAAAAAATCTTGAGTTTTTTCAAGTGTTTTCGAGATGTTGAGTCTAATTTTGGAGATAGAGTGCTCTTCTTTTGTTACGAAGGCTCTATATTTATAGGCACAAAATCTCAATGATGAAATCTAACAGAGGATATTTGGTTGCTATCCAAAGTCGGTTGTTGGTCTGTTGATTTGGACCGGTTTATAGGTGAGAGGATGGAATGTCTCTGACCAAACCGCTGGTTATACAAGGTGTTTCTCTGACTTGTATTCTCAATATATGGAAATCTAGTTGGCAATCAGCTTCTTCCGGTCTTGGTGGTTATTATCCAACTCGCTTTTCTTGTTGGGCGAGAAGGCGGTCAAGTCACCATTAATGGTGACAATCCTTCTTCAAACCCTTTGCATAGTGCAATGGTTACCAATCTTTTTAACTTTAGTGTGGCTCAAAGTTTTGGGCTTTCTGGCGTTATGGGCCCTTATTTAAATTTTAGCCAACTGAAAATTTGCTCCATGGCACGCCAATTTTATTTTATTTTTGCAAATGTATCAGTATAAATGTCAAATGTGGAAACTCTTATTAGATTTTCATGCCCTTTTACATTGATTTTCTTCTTTTATTGTTTTAACTTATCGGAAGAAGAGGTTTTAACTTAACAAAAGAGAAGAAATTTGAATATAAGAGATCTTCCAACTTTGGAGAAAATTAATTCCTACATAAATAAATACATGTACCTAAAAAGTTTAGCAAATTTGGCCAAAAAAGAAAAAGAAAAAAAAAGGCATTAATGTATAAGCTTCTCTTCCAAAGTCTAATATTTAGTTATTTAGTAAGGAGATTTATGCTGTCTATTACTGGATAAAGCATAGTGCATTCATTATGACATGACTTTTCATAGTGGAGCTTGACATACAATTATACTCATGAAATAGACATTAATGTACATTCTTTAAAAGTATCCTAAAATGTTTCCTAAGTTTTATGATTCCTAAGCTTTGTCAAGGTTTCCCTCATATCTCCAAAGCATTCTCTGCATATATTGGTAGACCAGCCATGCTATATGGCACTTAGAAAACAACATGTTCAGAAAATGAGTGTGGTATAGAAGTGAGAATGTCAAGTTGGATGTGTCACGTGTGGGAAGACAAGGAAGGATAGGATTCAACATTGAAGGTAGTTCCAAGGGAAATTTTTAGGTGAACTTGGCTTAACTTGAACAGTTGTGAAAGATACATGTGTAGACTTAATTTTCTTCTCTATTCGTTAAACGATTTACAAAAGGAGACAAACCATCAACGTTTGTGGAAAAAAAAAAATGAAGGACAAAAAGAAAATGAATGTTTGTCCACGAGTAAGCTAAATATGAATGGGCTTGCAAAGACTTCAAAGTAAGTCTTTTGACCCAAAAAATTGGAAAAGCAGGGAAGAAGAAATCAACGTCTGGACATGCGTGGGCCAACATGACTTTTTTTTTTTTTGGTAAAAACCAACATGACTTTTCATTTAAAGACTTGGAAGTCTTTGGAGTCATATATACGTTGGAAATTGATGGACGAAGACAGGATCAGCAACCAGCGCAATGCTTCCCTGGAGTTCTCTTGGCTTTTGTATGAAAATTATCCAAGAGAATAGTACATTCCTTCCAATTAATTTTAAACAAAATAAATATGAAATTTTGAACTGGTGATTTATTTGTATATTTAGTTAAATAATATGGGGCAGAATTTTTTTGATATATTTCATTCACCAAACGGAGGTATTTATAATACAAGGGTATAACACTAGTAGGGTTATACAAGGAAATAAGATAAAATCCTAATTACACGATATCTGTATAAAAAAGATAGAAATAGAGTCATAATAGACTAGAAATAAATCTCATAATTAAACTAGGATCTTGCTAACACTCTCCCTTAAGTTAGAGAAAAGATATCACGCATGCCCAACTTGTCAAGTGAGTTGAGAAAGACAGTAATAGACATAGCTTTCGTAAGTACATCTGCCAGTTGAACTCAAATGATATAAATGGAAAAGAAACAATCGCAGCATCCACCTTCTCTTTAATAAAATGTCGGTCAACCTCCACGTGCTTTGTAAGATCATGTTGCACAGGGTTATGAGCAATCACAATTGCAGCTTTGTTATCACAATACAAATCCATGGGTTTTTGGGGTGCAAACCCAAGATCTCTCAACAATCTCCTCAACCATAGTAACTCGCACACACCTTGACCCATCCTACGATACTCGACTTCGGCACTAGATCGAGACACCACTTTTTACTTTTTACTCCTCCAAATAACAAGATTACCACCAACAAATGTAAAATACCCAGACGTAGAACGTCCATCAGTGACTGAGCTAGCCCAATCAGCATCCGTATATCCTTCAACATTTGTATGATCATACTTGGAAAATATTAACCCCTTGCCATGAGTTACTTTCAGATACCTCAAAATACGCATCACAACACCCATATGATCTTCATTAGGAAAATACATAAATTGACTCACTACACTTATTGCATATGCAATATCAGGACGTGTATGAGCTAAATAAATCAATTTCTCCACAAGTCGTTGATAACGCTCTCTATCAGTATGAATTTGATCATGATACAACCCCAACTTATGATTCTGTTCACTAGGGGTATCAATTGGTTTATAATCCAACATTCCAGTTTCTACAAGTAAATCCAAAACATACTTTCTTTCAGATATAAAGATACCATGTTTAGATCTGGCAACTTCAATTTCAAGAAAGTACTTCAAATCACCTAATGATTTCATCTTAAACTCGGAAGCCAGATACTTTTGAAGATTTTGCATTTCTGCTTGATCATCTCCAGTTACAATCATATCATCAAAATAAATAATTAAAGCTGTCAATTTACCTTTATGACGCTTTAGAAACAAAGTATGATCTGAATTACTCTGCACATATCCAAATTTCTTTATAGATGTTGCAAACCTCCCAAACCATGCTCTTGGAGACTGTTTTAATCCATATAAGGATTTTCGCAACTTACACACAACACCCTCCTTGAAGGTCACATGAATACTAGGAGGAAGATCCATGTATATGTCTTACTTGAGGTCACCATGTAGGAACGCATTTTACATCAAACTAACAAGGGCCAATCATGATTAACAGTCGCGTGTTATAATATAAATGGGCGATATGGTTAATATTTCCCACTTTTATGATATAATATCAATAAATATCCAGTTATATATTCTAACAAACAAGTTATACCATGTGACATACTCTTATACTACGTACACTATAATTAGTTGCACTTAAAGCATCCACAATGATGTCTCTAAACCACCTCCTTAGACAAATTTTATGGAGAAATTGGAAAAATACAGCTCCAACCATGCTCTCTATTCACCTCCTAAAATAGAGAGACCTCTAGGAACTCCTAAATATGAGGAGAGAGAAAGGACTCCTAGTGGCTTCTTATAATTTAATGATGTTTCGTTTTATGCATAATTTAAACTTTTAATTAATACAAACATTTTTTTTATAGAGATGATAACCAATCATATTGAATTAAAAAAATAACTAGTATTTATGACTTCCTAACTTAGGGAGTATGATTGGAGTTCAAATTTTATAGAGTTCCTAAAATAATTTTTGTGTGTTTTTAGCTAAATTTTAACTAAAGAATAGGGAGCATGACCTTTGCCTACATAATTATTAACTAATTTCTTGTGATCGGGTATTGATTATTTCAGTATGGGGTTGTGAAAGTAGTTGGGATATTGAATGTTTGTGTTGACATTTGACAAGCTGCTTTAAACAGTGGTTGCAACATTATGTGATTGACAGACAACAGAGCAGTTTTTATCTTTCAACGAAAACAATAAGTTTCAAAAAAACAAACCAAAATTTTAATTTGACCCTAATTGTTATTATGGTGGTTTTGCTGCTAGCTAGGTCACATTTGCATATGACTCTGTTCTTTAAAGAAATTTTACTAGTCCTGTACTTAGTAAATTTTCAACTATAATTTTTATTCTACTTTTTGCAATTTGATCTTTTTAATTTTATTTTTGTCATTCAATAGGGAGGGAAATGGGGGAGTATTATATTGGGTTGCCTCAAGATTGTCTTTTACTTGAATTGAACTCGGGTGCACTCAGGGCTGATCTTGAGATTTTGAGGGCCCGTGCTAACCTTAAACTGGGGCCTCATATAAGCTAACACAAACGTACACCATTACGTAATGTCATACAATAAATGTTTTTTTTTTCTTTCTTAAAGTAAAAATCCTCATCAATTAGAATGCAAATTACAAATTAAATCATCTTTCATTATATAACCAATCAACATGATAATGAAGTAAGGCATTTAGTATATATAAATTGAAATTTAGATACATACTTGAATTTGAATTTAGATTTAAATATGACTATTTGCTTTTGAGTGACATTTATCAATTTTTTTGGTCGTTTTTTGTGTTGAAATCCTTGAAATTGAAAAAAAAATTGTCAAAGGATTAAAAAAGAGAGCCAAGGAGAGATATTGGTGATGATTATTACTTACAAAAAATAACGTGTTTGCCTTTTTAATTATTATGATTATTATTTGTTGTTACCAAAAAAAATAAAAAAAGAACTAAAACTATAATCTACACAAGCGGGTTTTGAAGTCGCGCCCTGAATGGAAGTTGAGGCAAACCAACACAACTAGAAACGTCTTTGTGTCAAAAAATTTCTCTCTCATATATTATGGTCCTCTTATATCAGCTATATCTGTAGATCCTGGTAAGTTTACACTGTTATGATTTCTAATTACTATTTGTATACCAGTGGGAGTTTCTCTGCTTTAAATATCATGTTAGGCATTAATATTTGGACGCAATTAAGAGATCCGCCTTCAGTTCTGCAGGGTGCTGCTTCTTCTGATTTTTTTCCCTTTCCTTTTCTTTTGGGTTGGGGGAACTGATCAGGACTGTATGGTGCTCAATAAATTGATTGCATCCCATCATTGGAGCTCTCTGAGTCTTCATATTTTTGTTCCTTGAATTGCCACAGAAATGCATCTATGTATTTTCCCTCTTTCTTTCTGTTTTACCTAGTTCGACTCAAGACTTGAAGAAATGATCTCTATTCAAATTTCCTATCACATAACTGATTAATGCAGTTCTTTGTAGGGAACTCCTATGTGCTTTTAAATGCAACAAAATTCAACTTCAAGGATTTTTTATTTTTTACATTGAAATTATCCTTTTCACCTAAGCAAACATATAATATTTATACTATAGCTCTTCTCCCTAAGGAAATTTTAAAGGAAATTACCCATCTGGTATGTAAACTTTCAGAGGTCAAATTTATACACGACAACACAACCTCTAAATATGGTTTTAAAAAAATTGAAATTTTTACACTATGACTCCATGAGGCGACAATCCTAAATCCGCCACTGCTCAAGATATATGTGTAGACTTAATTTTCTTCTCTATTCGTTAAACGATTTACAAAAGGAGACAAACCATCAACGTTTGTGGAAAAAAAAAATGAAGGACAAAAAGAAAATGAATGTTTGTCCACGAGTAAGCTAAATATGAATGGGCTTGCAAAGACTTCAAAGTAAGTCTTTTGACCCAAAAAATTGGAAAAGCAGGAAAGAAGAAATCAACGTCTGGACATGCGTGGGCCAACATGACTTTTCATTTGAAGACTTGGAAGTCTTTGGAGTCATACATACGTTGGAAATTGATGGACGAAGACAGGATCAGCAACCAGCGCAATGCTTCCCTAGAGTTCTCTTGGCTTTTGTATGAAAATTATCCAGGAGAATAGTACTTTCCTTCCAATTAATTTTAAACAAAATAAATATGAAATTTTGAACTGGTGATTTATTTGTATATTTAGTTAAATAATATGGGGCAGAATTTTTTTTGATATAATTTATTCTCTAAAAGGATGTATTTATTTATAATACAAGGTTGTAACCCTAGTAGGGTTACACAAAGAAATAAGATAAAATCTTAATTATACAATATATGTACAAAAAGGAAAGAAATAGAGTCTTAATATACTAGGAAATAAATCTCCTAACTAAGCTAGGACCTTGCTAACATATTTGTATATTTTTTATTTAATTTTTGAGTGTATTTTGTCAAATCAAGTGTTCCTCTCCTTTAGGCGTCTTCAGTTCAATGATGTCCACATAAATTTTCTCTCCCTCTCGATAATGCCTGGCTCCTGACAAGGTCTTAAATATCGATAGTTTCGGAAATATCGGTGGTCAAAAACATGAAATATCGATAGAAATATCGGGAAAATATCGATATCAATAAAAATTGGATAAAAACCACGGAAATTATGATAAATACATGGAAATTTTTAATGAAACTTTAGAAGAAGTTTATTTAGTCAATCATCTATTATTTTGACACAAAAAATTGGAAGGAAATGCATTGCATAGTCCGTTTGTGTGATTTAAGTTGATTATATTGCGACCTGACAAACTCTGTAACTTAAAAAATCTGAAGTAATTAATGAAAGAGAATTAAACACCCCTTAGTAATTTATTTATCATTTTTTAGTACAATATTTTACACTTTATAAATTGCATGATAAGATACATGAGTAACCTTATTTCATGTTATTCACTGGACATGGTACATGTTGTTATATCTATTAATTTATCAAAAATTGAAAAATAATTAAAGATGTAAACCAACTTGATTTGTCATGAAAATTAGGCACTTTACCATGCTTAAAAAATAATAGTGAAGATTGAAAATTAACTAAGAACATAAATAAATTTATCCAATAAAGAATTAAATAGGAAATAAAGAAAATGATTATAGAAATTTAAGTAATTAAGCAACAATTTATTTCACGTTATTCATTGGATATGGTACACGTTCTTATATTTATTATTTATCAAAAATTGAAAAATAATTAAATATGTAAACCATTTTGATTTTTCATGAAAATTAGGCACTTTACCATGCTTAAAAAATAACAGTGAAGATTGAAAATTAACTAAGAACATAAATAAATTTATCCATGGAAGAATTAAATAGCAAATAATGAAAATGATTATAGAGATTTAATGCGGCATTATCATTCACATTTCCCACTTCCCAAGGAAGAATTAAATGGCAAATAATGAAATTAGAAACATATAATGACTGAATTGGAAAACAGCAAAACACAATCAAAAACAGCAAAACATGGAAACCCACTCCATAATTTTATTTTATTTTTCCTCTTCTTCCTTTCTCTCTCGCTCTCCTCTTTCTGCCTTTTTTTTATAGTTGAGTTAAGATTGAGTTAAGAGACAGAGAAATGCTGAGTTTCGGAGGCTGAGGGATTCATCTGAAGGCTGAGTTTAATTTTGTAAGTTCATATCGCGATATTATCGATATTATCGAGATATATTGTCCATTTAAAGCTGCAACTTGAACGAAAATATCGTTACTGAAATATCGGCGAAATTATCGAGGAAATTATCGATAAATTGATGATATATATATATGGACATGTGCTAAATATCGCTGCCCCAAAAAAATGATAATTTCACCAAAATATCGGCGAAATTATCGATATTTTGTTCTATGGCTCCTGATATATTAGGAGCCATTCCTCCTCAATATAAGATGTGGCCTCTTACAAAATAACACCTGTTTTTTTCCTTTTTTTCCTTCACCGACTCTCTTTTTCTCTCTCTTCTCTCCCACTCGCCTCTCCTTTCCTCTCATGCTCTCTCTTCTCTCATCTCTCCATCTCTTCATCTCTTTCTTCCACCATTCCCAAAATTTCCAAGCTCCCCAATAAATAACATTACAAAAAAAGAAGACAATAGTCACAATTTTAAAGTAACAAATAGATTTTGATGACATTTGAATAAGTGGTCGCTATTAATTGTGACTAGTTATCTCACACTTTAAGGAAATAGTGACTATTGATTTAAATATAGTAAATATAAAATTATCTGACTCTTAAACAGTAATTTTGTAATATAATATTTTAGGATAATCTTCTTTAGTAAAAGTAATCTAGTTAAATACATATAAAACACATTAAAAAAACGATACGTATTGGTGACATGGGAAGGTTGTTTTTTTTGGTCAACCTGACATGGGAAAGTTGGCAATGAACTCCTCACCATTATTGGTGACGTTCAAAATTAAATAATAAATATAAAATTAAAAAGTAATATAATATAGTGTACCTACACAAGTGTGCCCAACTAAAGCCAAGGAGATGTATGCCGATACTATTGTTAATGTTATGTGCTGGCAAGATAACAACCATCCATCAGTGCAACTACATACAAGTCGCAAATCTAGAGGACAACTCCCTCTTTTTTCTTTTTTCTTTTTCCCTCTCCCTTTCTCTCTCACTCACTCTCTTCATCTTTCCTTTCTTTCTCTCTGGTCTCTGTGATTCTCTCATCTTCCTTTCTCTCTGGTTTCTCTCTCCCTCTCTTCATCTTCCCCCCCTCTCTCTTGAACAAAATCTCTAGATCTGGATCTAAAGTGGTTTTCAGGACTGCAATATGGATTCCATCACCGTCATATGGTTTCTTTGATCTTATAAACATCACAGCCGCGACGAACAATTTCTCTTTCCAGAACAAGTGGATTTGGTTCTGTCTATAAGGTAGCCGCCCTCAGAATCATTTCGCTTTTTTGTGTTGTCATGGATTATTTGATTTCTAATAGTTTCCTCAAAAGAATGAGTTAAGTTTGGTTATAATTTCAGGGTGTGCTTTACAATGGAAAGGAAATAGCAGCGATAAGGCTGTGAACAGAAGATCATATGAATACTTGAAAAAAACAGAGCGCTTTTGAGTTGGACAAGATGCTTCGAAATAATCTGTGGGATTGCTGCTATGGTGATCTTACATCTTCATCAATATTCAAGATTAAGAATCATTCATGAGATCTAAAGACAAGCAATATTCTACTAGATGCTTCTATGTACCACAAAATTGCAGATTTTGGTATGGCTAGAATATTTAAGGGAGATCAAAATGAACATAAAACAAATCGTGTGGTTAGGACATTGGGGAGATGGAGATGGTGTTGCTGCCTGCGAAGTGGTGGTTTGGTTGACAGCGTTGGATGGGGGTGCGAGAGGCTGTTTGGAGTTGGGTTTGGGATGTTGGTGGTTTAAGGGTGATTGGACATGACAAAATAATAAAAGACGTAATGCAAATAATAAAATATGTATGACTAATGGTGATCGGACATGATGTACTTTAGCCCGACAAACTCATGTCACGAATGGTTTATTACGGTGACAAACATCAGAACTTACGGACACTGATTAATCGTTACTGCAGGGTGACTAAAGCTTGTACCCTTGTACTCACGAATAAAGGTGACTAATAACCAATACCAATGGTCACCAAAGAAAAAGGTGACTACTGTCCAATTTTTTTATAGTGTAACTCAATAAAATAAAAAAGAGCTTGTCCAATATAGATCCCTACATTTTTTATTTTCTAAACATATACCCATCACTCTATAAATCTATGTGTAAAACCCAATTTCAAATTTAAATGACTAGTAGGATATAAGAGGTTGTAGTATTTCTATGTTTTTACATCATTGCCACCAAACTTCATATTTTATTTATAATTTATTTCAAACATTTCATTAACTACCATAATTGTAATTAATATACTCCCTATTAATAGCATATCAACCACCCCATTTCTTTTAGTTGTCATTCCCTCTCACATCTCCCCCCTAAAATTACAACCAAAAAAAAAAAAAAAAAATCTGTAAATTACATATCCAATAATGTACCTATGAAAAATATAATATAAATATATACATATAAAATATAGGTATATTATTTACCCAAAAAAAAAAAAAACAAAGTCAGTTACTTTGTAATTGCGTATATTTTTCATAATTATAAATAGGTACACAATAATTTATATAAAATATAGGTACATTATTTACCCACAGGTAAATTATTTTACAATATACCTGTAAATGTGTATAGGTACATTATTTGGAATAGATAATTATGTACACTTTTCATACTAGGTAAATTATGTTTTTCATAAAACAAACAAGTAATAGGTACATTATTTTTTCAACATAATTAGTATGTACAATTTTATTCATAAACAATTATAAAGTGGATTATTAGTCATGTATAATTCATAAAAAGAAAATAACATAAACATCTTATTAAACAAACCGATTACCTAAATTTGAATTTATTCTTAAATTTTTTTTAAAATGTTTCAAAATTAATTCCTACATCCATTACAACCATTTGGAGATCTTTCCAAATTCAACATCTGTCATTATATACAATCCAATTAAAAACTGTTTTCATATTGATTCCTACATTAATATACAAAATGCAATAATGGCTTAGTTGAGGGTATTTTTGGAATCTGAAAAGTACAATAAATCAGATTTTATGCTTAATTAGGTAACTTGCTGAGTTGGATCCTAGTCATGGGTTTTTACTTATACAAATTGGGTATTATTTATAGGAACAAAAAGTGAAGGGTTTTAGGTACAGCAAATTGAATTTGAAGGGTGTAAGCCAAATTTACTAAATAAAAAAATAAAAAAGAGAGAAATCAATACATAGTATTTGGGTGATGATGATGGATCTCTCCAAGCAGCTCAATAATGGATCTCTCCACCACCAACAAGATGATGAAGGAGGAGCAGCGATGGGAAGAGAAAGGGGCTGAAAATTTCTTCTAAAGAGTTCCAAGGGAAGGGAAGAGAAGCATTGTCCGTCTATAAATTGGTTGAGGCCAAGCCACATTAAGTTTGCTCAACAATCTTGTCTTCACCTTAATTGTGTTGTTAAGAAAAACATGGCATCATCCTCCCAGACTTTTCTTCTTCTTTGCTTTATGTTTGCTCTTGTGATCCTCATCTCCTCTGAGGTCTCAGCTGGTGAGTTAGTGGAAATTACTAAGCCAGTAATTCATATATGTATGTGTGGGTATATGTGGATGTTCATATTTATGATCTCTGCTCATGTTACTCAACTCATATTATTTTCTTTGTCGGTGTTGTATTATCCTTACAAATAATTAGTCAAATCATAAATCACAAAAACAAACTAAAAAATTTCGTTTACTATCTATTTACGTTGAATCTTTTGTTAGGCATTAATATTACAACACAATTAAGAGATCCGGCTTTAGGTAGCTGTTTGAATAATGCAATCTCTTATCTATTACATTCGCATTTACTCTAATAAAGCTATTCTTCTTCCGGCAGACTTTGTACCCCCACCAGAACCTGTAATATCACCTGTATCTGGTGGAAGTGGCATATCTGTAGGTGCAGTAGTTGGAATTGTGGCTGGAGGAGTCTTCATTATATTACTGATTTTTGGTATTCATCGGAGGAGTATTCTTCGGAGGAGAGGCCTCCAAGGACAACAAAATGCTTTGGAGGATGGTACGTACAGTTTATGCTGTTATTTTGTATGTACTTTTCGTGTATATTTAGGCACACTCTGTAAGTTGATATTTATTTGGATATTGAACTTTTTAGGCCTTGAATCAGCCGCGTGATATTAAGAAATAAAAATGCTACCATTATGAAATTCGTGTAGACACAATTTCTTGTATGAGTTTGCTTCTTACACAGATTTAAAGGGCGTGGACCTGCAAACAGGTAAATTTAGCTTCAGGCAACTCCAAGCTGCCACAAACAACTTTGACGAAGCCAATAAGATTGGAGAAGGTGGTTTTGGTTCTGTTTACAAGGTATTCTGCGGAACCAATATTTCTATTTATTTATTGCATTGGGGCTTACTTGATTAATTGTAAGCATTGTTATTAAAGTTGCTCTGCTTTTTAGTGAAGGGATTTTGACTTTGTTTCTCAAATGCAGGGCCTTCTATCAGATGGCACTGTAATTGCTGTCAAGCAGCGTTCTTCCAAATCAAAGCAAGGGAATCGTGAATTCGTGAATGAGATAGGCACGATTTTTGCTCTGCAACACCCTCATCTTGTCAAGCTTCACGGATGCTGTATTGAAGGAAATCAACTATTGCTTGTCTATGAGTACATGGAAAATAATAGCCTTTCTCGTGCTTTGTTTGGTAAATATTGCTCTTGTATGCCTAAACTTCATTTGGTTCATGCAGATGGGTATAAAATATCTTATACATAAAAAATATGTCCCTTATTAACTTTGAGTAATTTGACAAATTGAAGGGCAAGAAGAAAGTCAGTTGAAGTTGGATTGGCCAACAAGGCACAAGATCTGTGTTGGTATAGCTAGAGGTTTAGCTTACCTTCACGAGGAATCAACATTGAAGGTCGTTCATAGAGACATCAAGGCTAGTAATGTGCTTCTTGATAAAAATCTTACCCCAAAGATATCTGACTTTGGATTGGCCAAGCTTGATGAAGAGGATAATACACACATTAGCACCCGTATTGCTGGAACTTAGTGAGTCCCTGCGCTATTTTTTTATTCTTATACTTTTATTTTGATTTCTTCCACCCCGACGATGGGTCATAGAAATAGGAAACAGATGGAGGTTTCTCTACTTTTTATAAGTTTCAAACTTAACTAGATCTGTACTGTTAAAGAAACTTTGTAGTATTTTTAGTATTTTGCTAAGCTAAATATGGGGAAATGATGAGCCATTTTTTGCAGTGGATATATAGCGCCTGAATATGCAACGCGGGGTTATCTGACTGATAAAGCCGATGTTTATAGCTTTGGAATTCTTGTATTGGAAATTGTTAGTGGGAGGAACAACACCACTTACAGAGGAAAGGAAAAAAGCTTTTATCTTCTTGATTGGGTAACATGATTCTACTGCTTCCTTATTTAAAGTTAAATTTAATCTGATACTGTTGATTTCTATTCTATGTTTGCGGCTGAGAGAAAGTGACTGATAGTGCAATAGTTTTAATGATGATCCAAAATCAAGTCTGGCTTCATTTGACATTATCTTTCTCTGACAACATATGTAAGATCAGTGAAATTATTTGTAAAGACAAATTATCTCTGACAATATATGTTTCTAGGCACAACTACTAAAAGGGCAAGGGAATTTGATGCAACTAGTGGATCCAAGGTTGGGCTCAGACTTCAACGAAGAAGAGATTATGCTTACAATCAATGTGGCTCTCCTCTGCTGCAATGTCACTGCAACAGTTAGGCCTACCATGTCTTCAGTTGTAAGCATGCTTGAAGGCAGGGCTGCTGTTCAGGAATTGGTCTCAGATCCAAATGCCTCAAGTTTTGAGATAGAAGCAATGAGGAAGCATTTTCAATCCAGTTTCGGAAGGAACACCGGCAAGAGCCAGACACAAACTGCGCCAACTGAAGGGACCTGGACCGGTTCGTCTTCATCTGCTCATGATCTCTATCCAGTCAAGCCTGATTCAACTTACTGGGACAACAGAAAATAGAGAAACTGAGCAAACTTTCTTCACTCTCAAACATATATGTTCATATATCATTTCTACTCCCTCTCTAAATACACACACAAATATATTTTTTGTTCGGCAAGATAGCTGAAAGAATAATACACACACATCTTTGGTAGCCCTTCCAATGCTCCAACGACCCCAAGTGGACAATGGGCCCATTTCTGTAACTTTTTGCGTCTCTTCAGAATTCTAAATTCTAAGTTGTACAGCCAATAGTAGGGCAATAATGCTAAAAGGAGCATTTGTGAACTAATTTAGAATTTAACCCTTTTGGTAAAGCCTGACAAGGATAAATTGAACTAATTCTTTCCAACCCATTTGTGATCGTAATTTTTTGTTTTGACACGTCATTTGTGATCCCCCTTAATGCAGATGGTGCAACCTATATGTACATGCAGAATCATTTACATACGTAACCATAGTGACGGATCCATGAACTTCTTTTTCATGAGGGAAAAAAATACAATTAACTGCGAGATACTCCATCAAACACCTTATTTCCATGTTACGAAAAATATCAACGGACGGAATTTCTTGGCTAGATTAATACTCACCCTAACATGAATCCTTCAGTATCTAACCGTCTTAAAATCACAAGGTGGCCTCTCCACGTTTTATTTGCCTGTGAGTTTTCTGCGTCCTAAATCAATCAAAAAAACTTATTGACTTAATCCATTCCATTTATCATATATTTTAATAATGGAGTGGATCTTTTGATTTCGTTGACAAAAGACCGACCCAGGCTACGTGAATTTTGCAGGAGAGTTTGCGTCTCTATCCCGAAATCAGTTTCTAGTGGATCCAGTCAAAACAAAAATGGGCAGGGTTTTGAAGCTTGACTCCATTGAAAATGGCAAGACATGGAAAGGATACGACATGCTTATCTTCAATACTTGGCATTGGTGGCTGCATAAGGGAAGGCTACAATCGTGAGATACATACAAACCTAAAAATACTTTAGTATACACTAATGTTCTCCACCACACATGTCACGTTGTGCACATTCAAACATTATTCTACTTGAATAATTTCTTCAATCTGATAACATATGATACGTTAAATAGTTTGATAATTTAAATTATTTAGTCTGACAACATATGATACGTTAAATAGTCTAATAATTGAATTGTTTTATGTGGGAGTTTAAGGTGGGACTACATTGAAGCAGGAGGAAAGGTGCTCAAGGATATGGATCGTTTGGATGCTTGTAGGGAGGGATTAACTACTTGGTCCAAGTGGGTGAACTCTAATGTTCATCCCAACAACACCAAAGTTTTCTTTCAAGGCATTTCTCCAACCCACAACAAGTTGTAGAGCCTTGAACGCTGCCAACTTAAACATGTGGTAGCTGCAAAACCTGATAAACTCAATTCTTTAGGTATGTGACTTTCCCCATTATTTACTCTCTGGAACTGAAATGCAAGCTAGCCTTAGGATTAGGTTCTGACTGTTTCCATCAAATTAAGTGGCTGATGACGGCGACAACTGGAGCGTGGGGCAAAGGCAGCTTCTCTGTTTGGGGCGAGTTATGTTGAAGCACAGCAGGCTCTTGTTCATGGACGAGGCCACGGCTTCAGTTGATTCACAAGACAGATACTGTAGTACAAAGGATCATCGGAGAGGATTTTGCTGGATGTACAATAATCAGCATTGAAAATTCTCATCTCTCTCTCATGCGCAGTTGAAGTTGGGTTTTAGAAATCAATTGCTCATCTCTCTCATGCGCAAGAGAGAAAAAACTCTAATCAAATTGAAAGGTCAACTATAATCTTTTAAAACTTCAGCGTATCGCCTCGCGGCTATTTTTCGAATATTATAACAGTATAGCCGAACGGCTGTACTCTGAAAATATTATATTTAAAGAGCATAGCCGCGCAGCAATACGTTTCGAATATATTGGAATATTTAAATTGTATAGCCGTTCGGCCGTACTCTGAAAATACTATATTTAAAGGGTGTAGCCGATCGGTTATACTGTTGAGATTTGGATTGTCAAGGGAGCTAGAGAGCAAAAAACTGAGAGAGAACTTGAGCAAGAAGAAAAAATGGTTATGACCACTACTCCTTTGCAAAACCGTTGCAGCAGAGAAACTTCATTCATCCAAAATGTGTTCTTACATCAGCAATTACAATCTAACCATTGAAGGTTAAGCCAATGTGAATATGACACATGGCATTACAAAGCTTTAGAACTGCTGAAATAAGGGAGACAATCCTAAGCCTTACACTTGGCATATGAGCTCAAGGTGCTCAGCTAACAGACAACTTAAATGGACTAAATATAAACTAACTAAGTGATTACTAACTAATTAGAAATTAGCTAGGCAATTTACATTTTAACACTCCCTTCTAAAGTGCTAGCTGATTTCACTCCAAGCATACTCCTCAAATAGCTAAACCTGTCTTTGGGAAGTGCCTTGGTGAAGATGTTAGCAATTTGCTCTTCTCCTTTGCAGTAGAGCAGTTCAATCACTCCTTCTTAGATTGCTTCTCTAATAAAATGGAACTTCCTCTTAATGTGCTTGCTCCTTTGATGAAATACTGGATTTTTAGCCATTGCTATTGCTGAAGTGTTGTCACAGAACACAATTGTTGCAGCAGTCTGTTCTTCCCCAAAATCTTCAAGAACAAACCTGAGCCAAATGGCTTGTGATGTAGCTTCTGCTGTACTCACATACTCTGCTTCTGCTGTTGAAAGGGCCACACTATGTTGTTTGACTGATGCCCACGAAAATGCACCACTTCCAAATGAAAATGCATATCCGGAAGTGCTTTTCATATCTTCCTCATATCCACTCCAGTCACTGTCATAATATCCTACTAAAAGTGCAGACTTTCCAGTCACATACTCAATTCCATAATCAATTGTGCCTTGTATGTACCTTAGAACTCTTTTGGCTGCCCTATAGTGCATCTTAGAAGGATTGTGCATGAATCTTGCAAGCAGGCTAAACATGATATCAGGTCTGGTTGCAGTTAGATATAGCAAGCTTCCTACAATTTTTCTGTACAAGCTTTCATCTGCTGCTTCACTTCTATCCTCTCTTTGCAATTTATCAGTGACAACTAATAGAGTGCTCACTGATTTGCAATCCTTGAGTCCAAACTTATCTAGGAGAGTGAGTGCATACTTCTTTTGATGGATGAAAATGCTCCATTCAGTTTGTGTTACTCCCATACCAAGAAAATGATGGAGTAAACCCAAGTCAGACATTTCATACTTGCACATCATCTCAGCCTTGAATTCTTTCACCATTTCATCACTGCTTCCAGCATATACTATGTCATCTACATAGATTAATACGATTAATGTTCCCACACCTTCCTTGGTTCTCACATAGAGAGTTGCTTCACTTGGACTTCTGTGAAAACCACACTAATATAAGTAAGTGTCGATTTCACTGTCCAGGCCCTTGGAGCCTGCTTTAGTCCATAAAGGGCTTTTCTTAATCTGTACATCTTATCCTTGGCTCCTTTAATCACAAAGCCTTCAGGTTGATCCACATAGACTTCCTCTTCAAGGACACCATTTAAGAAAGCTGATTTGACATCCAATTGCCACAATTTCCAGCCTTTTTGTGTAGCTAGTGCAATGAGAGTTCTAATAGTGTCTAACCTTGCTACTGGAGCAAAGGTTTCATTGAAATCAATCCCTAGTTTCTATGTGTAACCCTTGGCTACAAGTCTTGTGACAGGACCCGCCCCGAATTTCCCGGAACCCGGGACGAATCCTGCGGAGACCTCGGCATCACACCCATGCCGGGTTCACTCCTTAAAACTATGTCCTCTTTTACCAAAGAGGATTAAGGGCATGAGACTTTCTACCGAAATTTCGGCAGAGTCTCCCCTGTAAATTGAACATTCCCCAAAGTTTCCACCTGCATGAAACACATTTTATATACCAACAGGCAGCACACATAATATATTTTCAATCAATTCACATAAATGGCCAGCGGCCTTCTGATAATCCAAAGCAAGCTACAAACACAAAAAGTTTAGGGTCCCAACCTAAAGCATACAGCTATCCCAAACGGGTCTTGCCCTAATCCAATCACAACACACTAACACCACCCTCTCGTAGTCAAAAGGAAGAGCGAACAACTATCTAATCATCCAACAACCAACACGCGAGGTTTTAACCTCCTATCACTATCACAATTAGTTTGGGGCCTCAGTCTAAACAGTTCAACAATTCAACTAGGATCTCAAACCTAACAGAACCACAATCATACTCACTTAGCCCACCGAACGAGCCTCTATCCAACCAAGTCTCGGGACCAACCACGAGGTCCACATCATACTCGATAAAACCACCTAAGTGGTGTCCAGGCCGTGGCTGCACCTAGGCGCTATCCCAGGCTGCCTACGTACCCTACTAAAGGATCAAGCCATACGTAGCTCTTTCACTAACACCCTCTACTAAGGGATCACAACTCACCAATCACAAACCTTAATTTATCTCCTAAAAACTCACATAATCTCCCCATACGCCGGAACATCCAAAGTCGCGTATGGGGCCTGTTTGCACGCCGGAAATAATCCTACGATAAGTGGGACCTCATCATCATGTCTCACTGTCTGCTTTGGGCCTGGCTACATTCTCACCAGCCATCTAACTGTCCGCTATGGGCCTAGCTACATTCTCACCAGTCTACACATAATCATATCTCCCCTCATACGTCGGGATGCACCCGGCCACGTATGGGGTCTGTTAACACGCCGGCTACTCCTACGACATGTGCGACCTCAACTTTGGGTCTGGCTACATTCTCACCAACCCACACACAATCATATCTCCCCTCATACGTCGGGACGCACCCGGCCACGTATGGGGTCTGTCAACACGCCGACTACTCCTACGACACGTGCGACCTCAACACAATCACAATATCACCCCTCATACGACGGGACCCACTCGGCCTCGTATGGGGTCTGTCAACACCCGGGGAGGTACATAGGGTAATGCGTATAGCACTCCAAACTGACATCTAAACTCTTTTATACCTTTGTATACAAACATGATTATATATAAATATAAACCTCTATTTCATAAACCTCAACCCTGGAATAGCATCCAATAGTCCCGAAATTCTGAACCGTAACTAATACCCTAATCTCACATAACCAACATACAATCAAGACCCTTCACTACGGTCATTTTAATCTTCCTAAGAAGGTAACACTACCTAGGAAGTCTTACGGTCAATCC